CGTTCTTATATGAAGGTATGGTTTAATTACTGCATTTGGATGTTTACTTTGACATTAAGAGAATGACCGTGCACCTCTGCCCACAAGGTTCAAACCCTCTGCCAGGTCTCTAGTTACCTTGTTCCCAGAAAACTGCAGCAGAGGATAGTGCTGGTATGTGTTTTTATAAAACATGGTTCACCCATTTGGAATACTGTGATCTGGATTTGGCAGCTCGAGGTAGTGGACACCAGTCGTAATAGGAGAAGATCTGCTACTCTCTTTTCTTTGAATAACTCTTTCAGTCTTGGAACTTTCCTTAACCATCATGCCACTGTGAGTGGGAGAAGAAATGACCCTCAGGAAGTATATGTTAACCGTAGCCAACAGTTTGCTTCTTGTCAGTGAGGGTGCACACTGAGATTTTATGTTCTCTAGAATTGGGGCACCTGGGTGGCTCAGTCTGTTAAGCATTTGCCTTTGGCTCGGATCATGATCCTGGGGTCCTGAGATCAAGCCCCACATTGGGCTCCCTACTCTGTGGGGAGTCTGCTTCTCCCTCTTCCTCTGTTCTTTTTCTCTCACATATAAATAAAATCTTTTTTAAAAGTATGTTCTCCAGGTTTTTTTGAAGAGAGAGTGTTCCCTTGGGGTACATGTTTTCTGTCCTTGTGTCTCATCTATTCATTTCATGTGTAGTTAACCTACAAATGGAGAGACAGTCATACCAGTGAGGCTAACAGGTCTTATGGACCCTCTTTCTAACTCTGGTACTCAGCTTTCCACGGAGATCCTTTTTCTCCAGAGACTTGTCAGATATACCTTTCCCTTTATCATTTTACTTGGCTCTGTTCCCATAAGTGTGCAACACATAAGGTATGGAAAGCCATTATGGTTGTAGAATTTTCGTTTGTTTTGAAGTCAATGTGTTTTCAGACCTTGATTTGCTCAGATTTGTAATCTCCCCTGAGGGCGGTATAAATGTCCAATTTTGAGCTCTTGTGGAAGACACAAAGTAAATAAAATGATTTTGTTTAGTTAAAACAATTTTAAAACAAAGGGAGACTTACATACACAGTCTCAAAAATCCCAGACCTCGGGACATTTGTAATAGAAATCTGCCCAGTAATTATCGTTTTTGAAAAATTCTGGCAGACACTAAAATTTCACCAGCTGCAAGGTGAATAAAACATTGAGTTTCTTGGCTAGAATTAGAGTGTATCAGTCAATGTGGTAACATGAGATCTCATGCTGATCAAAAAAAAACCCTCTGATTCACAATTAAATATTTATTTGGCAGATTAAATGTTTGAAAATGAACTTTATTTGATGAATGCTGTTTGGTAGATTAAAGTCTTTCAAAATACGGACTCTGGGAGAAGTCTGGTGGCAGCTATGTCTGCAGAACAGCCATCGGCCATGACTGTCATCACATGGACTGGTGCCGTGGGTCTCTGGATGACTTGTTCCTCTCTACTGAGGCCTGTTCTGCTGTGCATCTTGGATTATGAATGGCAGGCTTCAGGAATGGAAAGGCAGACATTTGGGACTTTTCAGGTCATTTTAATGTAGAATGTAATTTCTTTGTTCTAGGTTTATGGTCTTTGGTGTCATAAAACCAAGTGTATGTGTGTCTTCGTTTGGTGTCATAAAACCAAGTGTGTGTGTGTGTGTGTGTGTGTGAGAGAGAGAGAGAGAGAGACTGTGGTTTTTGGGGAGCTTGGGAGGCGGTCAGAGAAAAAGCCTGCAGCATGCATTAGGCATTATTATGTCCAATGAGAATGTTAAATGGTTAAAGAGCCAGTGTGACTTTTAAGTGATAAATATGTGGGGGGCCAGTATTTTATGTTTATAAATTGAGTATAAGAATCGCTCCTCTGGGAGCAGAGATGCCTTGACTTAATGTGAAGAGCTTGGTGACTTTAGGTCAATCGCCTCCCCTCTCTGGGCAGCCTCCAGATAAAAGGAGGGGAGTGAAGAGGATGAACAGGGAAGTCTTTTAAGGCTGCTTTGGCCTCTTCAGACGTGTGACCCTAATTACCTTCTGTGTTTCTGATGCACAAGTTAAAAAAAAAAAAATACTTGAAGCAACCCCAGTTTCATTCTTGTGCAAATGGCTTCCTCCTAGATGTTGATTAAATGCTAACATTCAATGTGAAGCTATCTTATTCTAGTCCAGATCTAACAAATCAAGATAGAATCCAGATAAATTCTGAAAGATCCAAATGATAGTACCCAGGTATAATCTCTTTATTCTTAAAATGCATATAAAATGGCTCATAATGGCCATCAGTATGACTGATGGGTCATAAGGAACACAAACTGGTGTGTGAGGGAAAACACAGAGCATGAGGGAAAAACAAACTTCTGGTATCATGAGACATCCAGTAATAATACCTGTGAAGTCACTTTTGGGTTTCTGGGGAGTGCATGAGAGAATCATAAAGATTAGGGTCACCTAGGCAGTAGTTAACCAAAGCAGCTGTTATTGCCAACAGTGAAGTTCATTAGGCTGGAACTATTTGCTTAAATCAGGAACAACAATGAAAGCAGCATCAGGGCTGGAAGATGTTGGGGACATTCCACGAAGAAGACTGGGTTCATGGGAACAAGGGTAAAAGGAAGTGGTCCACTTTTGGCAGTGCTGTCCCATGCACCAGCTACCCCCTGGCTCCTGACTGTCGCTCCTCTGCGCCTTCCCTGCCTGCAGTCTTTGCTGCCTTGTTTTGAATCCATTTTACTGCATCAAAGGTATGATGAGACTTGTGTTTTGTAACTTGTCTGAGTCTGCCATTTTGAATGAAGCCAATTTTCACATAAGTAGCAGTGCTAATTACTAGCCCTATCCGAATTTATAGGAACTTCCAGAGCTTTTCAAAACCTATTCAGATGATAGGCCTCATTTAAGCCGTTCAAGCGAGAATTACAGCAGTAACTTCTAACATGCAGAAGCAGAGGCCTCAAAGCTTGTCAGACTTACAGGTCCAACTATAGAAATGTTACTGTTTCTAACAGAAATTGCATTGTTGCTAACAGAAGCTTAGTTTACCTTTATGTTTACAGTACCACTTGACTAAATAAATAAATAAATAAATAAATAAATAAATAAATAAAATCGTTAAAAAGCTATCTTTGAATAACTGAGTGGTTTGGATGCCCGGTGCTGGTTACAGCAGGAAGGCTCTGAAGGTGACCCTGCAGAGAGATCCTTAACTTTAGAGTTGCCAATGGACACCAAGGCTGTGCCACATTCTTCTGGGCACTGGTTTAAATGTAAAGTTGAGTGCTCTCTGGTGCTGCCCCCAGCGCATCTGATCAGAGTCTGGACAAGGAGATTTTGAATGCTGATAAAATCTAGGACCCAGGCAGGTGTATTTGGACACTGTTTACAGACGAGCACAAGCTGCTATTCCACTCTGTGGCTGACCTTTTTGGAGTGCACATTAGCACTTTGAGGAGTTTTGTGAAGTCTCCTGTGTCCTATCAGCCAGTGGGTCTGGGTCGGAGGGGTTAGTTTTTAGCAGACATTTACCACGGTAATTAGTAGAGGGATCCAGCCAGCTCACCTTTCAGCCCCACACACTGTGCTAAAGACATTACTCTAAGCCACCCCGTATTGGATTGCATGAGTCCCTCCCTCTGCTTTTATGTAAACCTCCTGCATTTGTGTAGCTTGAATGGTCATGAATCAAAGCTCAGCTCACTTCAGTGTCAGCCCCTGCAGTGGGCAAAGAGGCTGATTCAGATTGCCTCCTGGCTCCCAGTTTTGGTTTCTTCCTGTGTGTGGTTGAGCTGGGAATGCTCCCATGGTGGGGTCCACAGTTTCATGAGGGAACTCTGACACCTAGCCACCTGGCTGATTACCTTGGGCTGGTTAAGAGCAAAGATACCTCTTCCCCCCACCCTTTGTCCCCCCTGGCTTTTAAATTTTTTGCTTCTGGTATATGCCATTACATTAGAGGTGGTCTAACTTAAAGGTTTCCCCCCAGCCCCTTCTCTTTTAAATTGTGGCGGAGAAAGGTAACAATTGTCTGTTGGCCCTGGACATCACCCTGGTAGTTTTCCAACATCTTCGGGAAATTGAAGTTAACTGCTTTGTGTGGAAGATTTTTGCATGGCTCCTTCAAGGCACTAACATATCACTGAACAAATTGCCCCCTTGCATATGCTAATCCTGTACTTAAAAGGACTCATTGTAACATGTTCTGATGCCTTAGCCTAAGGGGAGATGGGAATTGAAGGGATGTCAGATCATGTGACCCCCCCCCCCCCAATATCTAAAAATGCCTGTTTTCTTTGGGTCAACAGTTCGTACTCAGCACATGGGAATGAAAGTATCATGTGTGGCTGGTAGAAAAGATTAGTCCTTGTTCCTGCTTTTGTGCAGCGGGGCTGGCCTTGCTGTTGAAGATTCACTGGCTGAAATACTCGCTTTGGGTCTTAAATTTCAGTGCTGTTGGCGAGGAAAACCAAATCTTAATTTTCAACAGTGAATTAAAAGAATTCAAAGGAGTTCCTTCATTGTTGCTGTGGAAAATGTGATTTGCCTTTTAGGAAGCCCTGCTGTTAATCCCACCTGCTCTCTGTGTGTCTTTTTCGAGGGGCACACATTGACTGTTAGTCACAGAGTACATCTGATAGAATAATCTCAGGTTCTGCTCACAGGCCATGTATATTCCTGACCAGGAAATCACAATAGGAGAGAATAAAAACACATCCACATGTAAACAGCAAGCTCCCGATTCTCTAACAGAAAAAAGGATGCAAGAGCATTTAAAGTGAGTAGGGCCTGAAGGATCCACCAGGCTCTGGATGGTTTAATTGCATAGTCAGGGTCTCCCTTTTAAGTGCTTGAACCTCTATAAATGTTTGCCATCAAAGTCCTCAGCCGAGATGAATTACATGGAATGAAAGACTGTGTAGGTATCACCTTTCTAAAACCGCGGTCACATCCAGTTTGGGTTTTTATGTGTACAAAGAGACCTGGCAAGGAATCTTTGATTATTTTTTTTTTCTTGCAGAGTAATTCTCTCTTGGTCCCAGACAGTCTAAGGGGCACAGATAAACGCAGAAATGGGCCTGAATTTCCCAATGACATCAAAAAAAGAAAGGTGGATGATAAGGACTCCAGCCACTATGTAAGTAAATAAAGAACTTGAAACAGTATTTGTTTGCTTACTCACCTTCTAAGGGAGCCTACAAGCTCTAAGATCTCAGTGATAATTCCACACCCTTTAAATAAGACTGTAAAGAGGATAAATTCTTATAAGGGTACTGTTTCCCTCTAGAGCTATAAACTATGTTCCGCCAGACTCACTAGTACATTTTAGGCTTTCTGCCTAAGTTCCTCACAAGAGGGGATACTAGTGTTCGGGGCCTGTTTCATGGACATACAGCCAATGCATTTGCACAGGGTCTGCTTTTAAAGAGTCTTTGCCCTTGGTTTAATGCTCTGCTTTCACCATCTTCAAATCCTGCATTTTCATCTGTCCTGGGCCCTGCAATTTTGGTAGCCTGTCCTGCTAAAATAATCAGGGTAAAAACAATTAGTGTCACAAAAATACCTCTTTGGTTGCTATTCTGTTGACTTCTTCAGACTCATATTCAATCTTGAAGTAGAGTTCGTCCTCTTGAACAGCTAGCACTTTGGTCATGTTAAGTCCATGATAACAATGGAAAAAACCTTGGAGAGTCAGACCCGGCAGATTGAGAACGCGTGACTGTGGAGGAAGGGCTCTTGACTCATATCTAGCTGGAACCACATTTCTTGAGGAGAGCAAACCAAGCCAAATGGCAATTGGCTCAAGTCTGAGGGTCATAAACATTGCAGCTGGTAGATGACTTGGGAGTTTTCTTGTGTATCTCTGAGTGTGTCTATTCCAAGATGGACACATTCTCAGGAATGCTATGAGAGTAGAATGCTGGACAAGTCCACTTCCCATTGCTTATAGAAGAAGTGTCCATCTCTGGTGGAGATGGGGCTAGATGGGGGTTTACATATTGGGCCTCTCTGCCTCCTGCTGGCTGGTTCAGGCCAACAGCTAACAGTGGGAAGTAGTTTCTGAGCAACAGCTTGTTAATGTTGGGTACTCTGTGGTTTTTACATGAATTGTTTCATCTGACTCTTAAAATGACTCAGGGAGTTCAGTACCATCACCTCTATTTTAGATAAAGGAATTGAAGCACAGAGCTTAGAAGTGATTTGCCCAAGGTCAGAGTTAGTGGTGGAGCCTGGGGGCAGTCTAACTCCAGAATCCATGCTCTTCATCACTGTGCTAGGATCCCCATACTGAGGGCCTAGGAGTGGATATTTTGCCGAGGCCCTTATATTGGTCCATCCTTTGCACTATGATAACATTACAAGAACTTTGAGTGTAGGTTATCCCCATCCCAGTCCAAACTTTTTTTGTGGCACACGTTTGCCCCTCACCTTTGCCTACAGCCAGTGTCCTAGCAGGTACTTTTATATATGGCATCAACTGTTAATAAGCTATTCAGAAGGTCCATGACATGTAGAAATTTGGAAGTTGCCAGTAATATAATTTTGAGTTGTGCATGAGGCCCAGGTAGATATTTAGTAGTAAGTGATCTAGAATCCATAGCTCTACATTATTGTTTTATAACCTGCTCATTTAAAGTATGTCCAAATGTATAGGTAGTTGAGGGTGATGTATTGACCAGTGTACACTGTATTGTGAAGGTTCACATTTGCAGGATTTGAAACACAGCTAAGATTGAAATTATAGGCTACTTAAGGACTCAATTTCATAGTCCCATTATAATAAATGAGTTCTTTGCTACTTTTTGCCAATTTGTACACTATGTGAAATATTTTTATAAGTTTTTTTCTAAAAGGGAAAACATTTTGTTTATATTTTTTTACCACCATCTTTGGGTTCTTTTTTTTTTTTTTTTAAAGATTTTATTTATTTTTTGAGAGAGAGATAGAGATAGCAAGACAACACAAGTGGGGAGAAGAGAGAGAAGCAGGCTCCGCACTGGGCAGGGAGCCCAACACGGAGCTGGATCCCAGGACCCTGGTATCATGACCTGAGCAGAAGGCAGATGCTTAACCAGCTGAGCCACCGAGGCATCCCCATTTTTGTGTTCTGAACACAAGATTTGTTGGCTATCTTCAGGATGATATACCTAAAGCAATGACATGAAATTGTGTTCTTAATTTGACATCCCGTGGGAAAAGAGCCCTGATGGAAGGACATGCATGGGTTTCAAATTATAAGAGAGATTCAGCTGTTGCAAACATTTATTGAGCTCTTACTATGCACCCCATGTTTGCAACTTGCCCTCACCAGTATGATCTATAGCAGGCATGTCACTGCAATAATTTCTGCTTGGGGCTTTGGGTAGACCACATCAGATGACAGGGGAAGGAAATATTAGTGACTCTGCCTCGCAGTCTGGAAGGGAACCTATAGGCATGTCCTGGGCCATTTTTCGGTCTGCCTGCTACCAAGAACTATAGAAATTTAACTGGGCCTCTAACCCTTTAATAAATGGCATTACAATTTCTTTTTCCAGGACAGCGATGGTGACAAAAGCGATGACAACTTAGTTGTGGATGTGTCTAATGAGGTAGCCACTCATTTTCTCAAACTTTATTTTCAGAGTGACTTATGAGAAACAGAAAGTGAGCCATGTTATTTTAGTTTCTCACAACTTTACACCTTAGAAACTTCATGGTGGTTCACAGATGGAGCAATAGTGATCTGACACGAACTTTTGTTAAAAAAATCTGTTTTCCCAGTCATTTAGGATTCGTAAGTTGGGTGCTTAGTGCCCCTTTCATTCCTGTGCCCTGGGAAAAAGGCTTGGTGCCTTTTTCATTCCTGAGAAAAGTGTCTGAACATGAGTAAGGGTAGAATTGTTCTTGGATGTTTTCTCCCTCTGTGCTGTCTTCATGGATGTGTTTGCAAATGCCATCCTGTTAATTCTGTTAATTATAACAACATTGCTAGTCAGGGTGCACACTCCCAAGTGCTCCAGATCTAAAGGACTTAAAGGGTCCTCCTTTAATATAGAGAATTAGTGTGGAAATAGAATCTGTGAAGCGCAAGGTCCATTCATTATAAGTGAAATCACACAAGCTTTGCTTATGCTTGTTGAGGACCCTTCTTCTCCACGAGCAAGCCCTGCCCATTCACCCAGGGAAAACGGGATCGACAAAAACCGCCTGCTGAAGAAAGATGCTTCCAGCAGCCCAGCGTCCACAGCCTCTTCAGGAAGCTCCACTTCTTTGAAATCCAAAGAAATGAGCTTGGTAGGTCCCATGAGCTGTCCCCTGCCTGTTCAGCAGTTTATTTTCCTTTGTGGTTCAGAGGACCCTTAGTACCTTATTTTCAACTGACCCATTGTGTTGGGGCATGTTGGGATTGGGTTGGGAGTCAGAATGGGAATGTACTCAAGTGGTCACGCCCCAAGAGGCCTGAAACTGATTCAGGGAGGGCAGAGCCTCTTTGCCTGTTCCTACTTTCAACCATTCAACAAATAACGTGGAGCATGTCATCTCTTAACCCACAAAAACTGAGCCATAACAGCTCTGCGTGTGATGCTTATACAGTCTTCCTGGGCATTATCCCTGTCACCTATGGGGAAGAAAGTCTGAGGAGCCTACCAAGTTTATACAGCCCATCAGATCCAAGGCCAGAGGGAGCTAGGGTCTCTCTCCCTAGCCCATGCATGCTCTTGGCTTCTCCACAGTGTTCCTCAGACTGGGATTTAAAGGAATGGATGAGATGCAGAGGATGGTGCCCCATGACCCTGTTACTGCCACACCCCTGATGGCCTCTGCGCTAGAGGTCAACATCTGTTATGTAGGCAAATGGGCGGTGGTGCTTAACACCTCACACAGCTCTCAAAGGGACAGGACTCCTCGGGCTTTTGCCTTTGAGATGCTGGTTTGTTTCTCATCAAATCCATGGCCCTGCTGCCTCTCACTAATAGTCTCAATCCTACTGCCACTAACAGGCAAGATTAGAAGAGGGATCCTCCCTCTGACATTCTCAGTGACCCAGCCATTTGTTTCTGAAGTGCCTGGGGATTTTTCTCTGGGTGGTCATCGTTCTGACTTGGCCCACATCCAAAGTCCACATGCCTGATGGAAAAATACTTTTTAAAATAAAATCTGCGGAGGAAGAAGTGTGATCATGTTCTGTGTCTCTAGCTAGAGTTTTAATTCTGGCAGGAAGAGGAAAGGTCAACATTTCTCGCTCACAAGTTAATGCTGTCAACATTGTGTGGATTTATGAAAATTGGCTGAGGGAGTAGCTAGAAGGTGCCCAAGTGTCCCAGCTGCTGTTGTGATAAATTGTGTAATATGGCTTGGATTAAAAATAATACTCATTTAATTTGTTTAATGATACCAGCATGAAAAAGCCAGCACGCCTGTTCTGAAATCCAGCACACCGACGCCTCGGAGCGATATGCCAACGCCGGGCACCAGTGCCACTCCAGGACTCCGTCCAGGCCTCGGCAAGCCTCCAGCCATGGACCCCCTCGTTAACCAAGCGGGTAGAGCAACACTGCCTCTTGTTGTGCTTTGTTTTGCGTTTCCCCTTCCTGGCTTGGTTCGTTGTGTGTGCACTCCTGACGCCATTTCCCCATGAATATGAAACACACTCAATGCCCGCCTCCTTCCCATCCCTGAAAAGCCATGATAAGAAACAGATGTTTGTCCTTAGGTTTCAGCAGCTGCACCCTGTTCGGTCTCCGACTGTTTATATTTGGCTCCACCACCACCACCACCCCCTCCCCACAAATAATCCAAATTCCAGGGACTTCAATAAAGTTTCCAATAATTATTTGCACATAAGCTCCTGACCAAACTATCACTTGCATTAATGAGTTCACCAATACCAAAACTGCCCGCCCAAGTGTGCTTCTTGCTTACTTTTTAGTTGGCCATTTTTTTTCCTGGTATATCCCTCAGGAATCAGTGGTCTGTCATTAGAAATTGGGAGGGTTTCACGGAGTCTCCAGCCCATGAATAAATTAGTAACGTTTAACTTAATCTTCTTTAACACCTTGGCCCCAGACGAAAATAGGCCCTAGAAGATTCCATCTAAACCCATGCTTTGGTTTCAGTCATGAATCCAGAGTCAGGTCTTCCTTTGGAATAGGTAGCAGGGAATGAAAATTTAGACTCTAGGAGGAATCTTGGATTTTACCAAAACCTAATTTTGAGATTAAGTCAGATAAACAGGTAGTGCCCTGTGCCTTGGTTTACCTTCTGTGAATCGAGCACAATAGTGCAGTTTATTAATTTTAATTGCCTGGTTTCCCAGTGCTGGGGAGCCAAGGACAAAGTGCACGGACAGTGCTTCCCCTGGGGTTCATTCTTCCCTGGAGATGAATTCAGCTGAGTGGGTGGTGATGACCGCCCCCTATGTCACCCAGGCCATCATCCTTGTCCTCACCCCTTGTGAATGGCGCTAGAGGTGACTCTGGAGTTGATGGTCAGGCTGGACCACAGCGGCCGGCTGAGTGACATCCTGCACATCTTGTGCTTCCTTGCAGCGGCCGGCCTGAGGACGCCACTGGCGGTGCCTGGCCCATACCCCGCCCCGTTCGGGATGGTACCCCACGCCGGCATGAACGGCGAGCTGACCAGCCCCGGCGCCGCCTACGCCAGCCTGCATAACATGTCCCCGCAGATGAGCGCTGCCGCTGCTGCCGCTGCTGTGGTAGCCTACGGGCGCTCACCAATGGTAGGTGCCACGGACAGGCATGCAGGTGGGCAGGCAGGTGGGTGCACAGGTGGGCAGGAGGGCAGGTGAGCCAGGGTCAGGATCTCTGCTGCCGCCGCCGTGGTGGCCTACAGGCACTCCCCAATGGTAGGTGCCACGGATGGGTACTCGGTGGGTAGGCAGGTGGGTGCATAGGTGGGCAGGTGAGCCAGGGCCAGGACCCCCGCCGCCGTTGCTGTGGTGGCCTACGGGCACTCCTCGATCGTAGATGCCACAGGTGGGCGGGCAGGTGGGTGCACCGGCAGGCAGGTGAGCCAGGATCTGGACCTTCACCTGCGCCTGCTCACCAAACAGAGCCCCAGTGTCCCCACTGCGCCCCGCCTGCCACCATCACTATGCTGCTTCATTAAGTTAGGGCTCGGCGCTTCTTGGTTTACTGTTTTTGTGGATGAAACAAGGCAGTGTTTAGGAGTTACTTTCGCGATTCAGGGGACATCTGGTTTTCTCCCCCCAAGTAGATTTTTTTTTTTTTGGAAGGCAATGAAATGACTCAAGTAGCTCACAGAAGCCTTTTCATTCATTTTCTTGAAGTTTTTTTTTTTCCTTCTTTAATTCTTAGGAAAAAATATTTGAGAAGGTGTAACTTTTTCTTTCCGTGCCTATATTATTCTTTAAACCCAACAGTGTGACTCAGGTGTAAGCAGTGATCTCAGGGCAGCAGAGAGAAAGCAGAAGTGGCTGAACTCTGGGCCAGCTTGCCCATCTTCTTGTCCAGGGTTTAACCACTATGTGAATAGCCTCATTTTTGACCGCAAAGGGCAAAAGTGATTATAATCCTCAATTGGATCAGGGAAAGCTAATAGATTATAACCTGTAGCAAATAGAAGTCCCTATATATTTCTCTTGGCTGTTTAGGATATGTCACGTTCAGGGACACATGGGTGGCTCAGTTGGTGAAGCGTCTGCCTTCCCCTCAGGCCATGATCCCAGGCTCCTGGAGGAGTCTGCTTCTCCCTCTTCCTCTGTCTGCCACTCCCCCTGCTTGTGCTCTCTCTGTCAAATAAATAAAATCTTAAAAAAAAAAAAAAAAAAAAAAACCTAGAGAATCCATGAATGTTTATGCAGTAAATTAGACCAGTGGTATGAAACTGGGGGTGATTTTGCCCCTCCCCCCGACCACCACCATGGATCAGAAGTGGGGAATGCTATTGGTACGCAGAGGCTAGAAGCCAAGGGTGGTGCTAAAACATCTGCCATGCCCAGGACAGCCCCAAACAACCATCTGGCTCAAAACATTGATAGTGCCAAGGTCAAGAAATCCTGACTCAGACAAACGTACTGTTCTCTGTACCTTTTGGGGAAGGCAGGATATCCCAGGTCCACAGGAAGTCTTTACTATGGGAAGCTGGTTCTCGATGTACAGATAGACCACACTCCAACCAACCCAAAAAGAAGTGTGGCCTGTTGTATTTACAGGTGGTTCTATTACTAATTTTTCTTTTGAAAAGCATTAGCACATGTTACCGTTCCTGTTTATGTGGCTTTGGAGGTCTATGAGTTTCTAGTGAGAAGTCTATAGATGTTCACAAAGTGCCTACTCTGTATGAACTGAGTCTTTAATGTCTTCTTTCTTGTTTCCAGGTTGGGTTTGATCCTCCCCCTCACATGCGAGTACCTACAATCCCTCCCAACCTGGCAGGAATCCCTGGGGGGAAACCGTAAGTACCTCCAACTCTCCTCAGTTTTGTTTTAAAGGCAATTACTTAGTCATGGCTATTAGCAGACTAGAATTCCAAAGGGAGCACAGGCTTGGACGTTTCCAAGGAGATTTCTAGTGTCTTTTCCTGAGGAGTGTTAACACTTTCTATAAATAGGCACCTTGTAGGTGTCATGCCTGTGTTTTCTCACTATGGGTGATCTCATGCATTTAGTTATTTCTGGAGAGAAGCTGTTGTCGCTGGGACCTAGAGGGAGGCAAGAACTGGGGGTGGTTGGCCCTCCTTGCTTGACCCTTCTTCGGAAAGCTGCTCTGCTTTAACTTTGGTCAGCTGCTGGAGATTTTCAACAGGACTGTGTTTGTGGGCAGTAATAAGCTGTCATGAACTCCTGAAATCTCAGAAATTTGAAACATGTTGTCCCTGTCCCTGGCTCAGTGCTATACTTTTTCTTATTTGAGTGGAAACTAGGGGTGTATGAAGGGTAGTTGTGACATCTATTGGATGCCAGCATTTGAAGTTGGAACCTCCCCGCCCACCTGCGCCCCCACCCTGCACCCCATAAAGTTTGGTGCGTGCTTCACTCTGAGAGGTCCTAGACTATAAAATGCAGAGTGGCTTTGTGGGAAAGCAAGATAAATAAATTGAAGGGGCAAAACAGCATTCAGAATTTGAAAAGCCCCATTGGCTATTCTTTCGGTATCCTTTCAAATCACTTGGCTTTCCATATGTTAGTATTAGAAATGTGATTTTGAAGAATTCCTAAAGTTCTTAATTTTCATAACAAAGCAAAATTGAAATATTGAGGCGGGTTGAATATCTGTCTTACCTCCCAGCACATACTCTGCTTTTCTGTAGGGCCTTTACAATTTGGATTTTTTCCAAATAGGGGTACATGTCACAGACCTTCGGTTTATTTTTCTTATACTGTTCTACCTTTGTGTGGTTGCTTTCCGCTTTTATTTATGCGTTTGCTGCATGTTGTGTATTACATTAATTTGAGTGGTCCATTCAACTACCTGGTCATCTTTGTGTGATTTTGACTGGAGCCTTTTTTCAAATAAACCAGCGGCATGAGGAAAAACGGAATTCCTTACCTCCATCACCTGCATTTTGGAAAGCAGATTCCCATGACTCGATTTTACATGTATTATAATATCTATTTCATGGTAATTTGATTCATGATGAAATGAGACTTTGTCTACACTAAGAACCGGAAGAGATGTTAAGAATTTATGGTGACACGCTAGACCCAGGGAAGACCAGGATTAGGGACAGTGTTGCAAATCATTCTTGAAAATTCATGAACTGCTAGGTAGTGTATTCTCTTGGGTATGCCCCTCTGCTTCCAGCCTGGGATGCCCCCGGGCATGTAATGGGTATTTCTTGTCTGTTGTTGGTGGCAGTGTAGCTGTGGGGTGTCCTGCAGACTGGTGAGTGAATAAAGGGCACATGAGTAATGTGATAAGAAGCAATAATTAATAGTAACTGATGAATCTTCAGGGGAAAATAATGGCAAGTTGAGCTGACAATTAGGGAAAGCCAGTTTCAAGAGTCAGAGGTGTGAGGGTGTATCTGGCTGCCAAGACCCCACCCTGAGTGGGGTGTGAGGTATGACGCACATGGGGTGGGGTGGGAAGAGCTCTAGGCTATGGTGATGGTCTTGGAGGTTAGCATGCAGAGGACCATTAATTCAGACCTAGCTCCTTACAGTTGGGGTGTGTGTGTGTGAATAATGCAATTAGACATAAACTTTAAACCTTCTATGATAATACTGGTGTCATGCTTCTTAGAGCCAAAATATTCATGTCCTTGGCTTGTAAGCACCTTGGGTTTCTTTGTGTTCCCAGCTGTATTAAGCTAGGATATGACATGCTCAGGGACAAGTGACAGTGGATGTGACAGCAAAGTCCTGAGAGTCACAGATGAGGGTGACTGCATCAGAGTGGTTTTTGCTCTCCGAAACAGTGAAAATATATTTTTTTGGCGTCTCTTTAAAGTTTGAGGGAAGCTGTATTCTGTGAGGAAGATCAAGTGAATATCAGAGGGGAATATGGAGCTCACCATTGTCTCTGGGATCTGGGCTATCTTACATCTTACTCTCTTTGTTTTAATCCATTAGCTACTATGAGAGGGTTCCTGTCCTCATTGTTGAGTAAAGGTGCACTCCCCCAGGCAGTGCTTCTCAAAACATCTATGATCACCAGTCTTTTCCCAACATGAGGAACAGACAAATAGGGATGAATAGAGGAAGAAAAATACACAACATTAAGTCCTGGTTTTTTAGTTACAAGAGTCAGCTGTCGTGAACCAATTCTGTCAAGTTGCTGTATAACCATTTTCAACACTTCCTGTCCCCGAGTGAGCAGAGCAGGTCTATGTGCAGACAGTAGCAAACATTTGCAGACCACACTCTGAACAGCTTTGGTCTGAGGCACTTAAGAGAAACGGTGACAAACCAGCATGGCCAGGGTTAGGGTAAGAAAGGGGGGATCCCTGGGTGGTGCAGCGGTTTAGCGCCTGCCTTTGGCCCAGGGCGCGATCCTGGAGACCCGGGATCGAATCCCACGTCGGGCTCCCGGTGCATGGAGCCTGCTTCTCCCTCTGCCTATGTCTCTGCCTCTCTCTCTCTGTCTCTCTCTGTCTCTCTCTGTCTCTCTCTCTCTCTGTGTGTGTGTTTGTGACTATCATAAATAAATAAAAATTAAAAAAAAGGGGTGGTAAAGGTTTGTGAATGTCATCATCTGACAAATACCAAGAAATAATATTTGGGTAGGGCGACGGATGGTTACTCATGGACATTTGAGAGAGAACTGTGTGCCAGGCTTTGTGCTCCATGCTGGGCAGGCTCCAGGAAGGAGGATGTTCATCTTCCCCACCCCTTGGGGCCCCTCTGATGGAGAAACACTAAAGAGACAAAGGCTGCAGTATGTTTGTGTGGCCCTGCGAAGGCAGAGCAGTGGGTGCTAGGCAGACAAGTCAAGAGTGACCGTGGTGAGGATAGGAAGGGCTTCTTGGGGTGAGGAGGAGATACTGAAAACTGAGCATGAGCAGGAAAAACAAGCCCACAGAGTAAAGGGGTCAGAAAATGTGGACCCTTGCAGGGACAAGGGGCAGCCCGCGACATGCTCCCAGTGCAGACAGAGCTTGAGGGATTCCTCTGCAAATGAGTGAGTTCCCCTGGGTTAGCACAGCTGGGGGACTTCCCGGTGGGACTTTGAAAGCGCTTCTAGGGTAAATGCTCATTTGGCTCACATCTCCTATGACTGCCTCACCACGTGGCTGTGTGCCTCTGACCTAGCAGGTCTAGTGTGGTGACTTCTGATACCTGGAGCAAGCCATTTTCCCTGGCTGTGTGAAAACCATTGCAGCCCTCGAGCTGAGATCTGTCTCTCTGGAACCTTTATCCATCGATCCTGGTTCTTTCCTACGCCTTGAAACCACACGGTGCACCATTAATCTATCATCCCTGTGACAGCTCTTCAGATATTTGGAGACCACCGTCTGGCCAAAGGCTTCTCTCCTGGCAGAATGTGTCCATTGCTTCAGCCCTATCTTGTGGAATGTGATTTCAGGTTCCCACACCATCTGCTCACTAAAATCTAACAGTCACTTCCCTCTTGTCCTTTCCCAGAGATTTCATGGAAACCTGCTGCATAGGTATAAGGGACCCTATTAGAAACTCACAGCCCAGGGATGGAGAGATCATATTAATCAAATAATCACAGAAATGAATGCATGATTATAATTGAGAGAAGAGCTATGACTCAGAAGGACATTATTCTATTAAAGTTTGTGACAGGCTGATTCTGTCTGAGAGGGTCAAGGAAGAAGTGTTTTCTGAGCTGCTTGAAAAGGGCTTTTATACCTCATAGGGGAGGTATAAAAGAGCATATTCAAAGGCCCCGTGGCCTTACCTTTTTTTTTTAATCAAAGTGGAATAGAGCAAGATGACTTCTATTGCCACTATTTTGTACTTAGTGTTGGTGTTAAAGTGATGTAAGATCTCAGTAGGGTTTTCCAACCAACCTGGTCAGTTTCCCTGTGTCCCTTCACCCCTATACCAGCCTCTTCTAACTTCTCTATCTTTGTTAACAGCACAGTCCTCATTCTCTGGCATCTGGGCACAAACATTAGCCTGTGATTCTTCCTTGTTTAAATCACATTTTGCTCTTCTTCTTCTTCTTCTTTCTTCTTTCTTCTTTCTTCTTCTTCTTTCTTCTTCTCCTTCTCCTTCTCCTTCTTCTCCTCCTTCTCCTCCTTCTTCTCCTTCTTCTCCTTCTTCTCCTTCTTCTTCTTCCTCCTCCTCCTCCTCCTCCTTCTTCTTCTTCTTCTTCTTCTTCTTCTTCTTCTTCTTCCTCCTCCTCCTCCTCCTCCTCCTCCTTCTTCTTCTTCTTCTTCCTTCTTCCTCCTCCTTCTTCCTTCTTCTTCCTTCTTCTTCTTCTTCTTCTTCTTCATTTTATTTATTTGAGAAAGTGTGTGTGCAAGCATGAACAGGAGGAGGGACAGAGGAAGAGGGAAAAGCAGACTCCCTGCTGAGCCCAGAGTCCCATGTGGGGCTCAATTCCAGGACCCTGAGATCATGACCTGAGCCAAAAACAGACGCTTAACTGACTGAACCATCCAGGTGCCCCATCAATCTTAATTGTTAAGATCCTCACTTGATTCCTACTTGCTTTTGTCACTAAGATCCTAGGTCTGTTTTCTCCCTTATAAAGTGCTTACCTGATTAGGCTCTTTTCTTACCCAGAGATCTTCAGAAGTTGCACATAAACTGGTGACAGGGCATTCCAGGCCCCTCTGGTGCTATGACCCCCACCTGCTTTTCTAGCCTCGTGTCGTGTGTTGTCTCTTGTACCTGGGCTGAAAGAAGTAACCTTCCACTCCCTGACAGCCTTTCCTCCTCTCTGGAACAATGTCCATTCTCACCAGTCTTCTTTCTGTGGGAATACTCCCTGTCCTTCAAAGACTGCTTCTGCTGCTGCCTTCATAGCACGAAGCCT